AATGACTTTATTCCACATTTTCGTCTCTACTGCGTCACTTTGGACTCGTGTTCGAAAATGTGGAATAAAGTCGTTATTTTTGTTTTCTTTGCGCAAAAAAAGTATTCTCGTAGCTTCGTAACTTTACAGTTGAACCACTGATGTCACACGGACTACTTTGTCGATCATCTTGGTACTTTTCTGGACCTTGAACCGTGGTAGTTACCTTGCTGTCTATGGGAGGGTCAGAGAGCCCTCAGATTTCATCAAACATATCTTAAATTGTGTTCCGAAGATGAACGAAGGTCGTACGGGTTTGGAACAACACGAGGGTGTTGTTCCAAATTAGTTGCTAAGTTTAGGTATGGGGTGGATTAAGGGATCTAGAATATGGTCATGCAGAATAAGGCATTAATATGTGTTTTATAAGTCCTAATACACAGCCAATATGGTAGTAATATGCATGCTAGTTAATAGTGAGAATTGGTCCTTAAAATAAAGTGTTACTACATGCATATATATATATATATCATATAGGCCTATGTGAGATACAGTAATGAACACTGTGGTATTTTTTGCAGTTCTTTGCGATGAAATCTTCATGTTGTGTCCAAACTCTGCAGAACAAAACACAGTCTCCGTTTACTCCAGCCTGCCAGTCAACTGATCTGCAGATATGTCTTAATTAGTACAGAGAAGCAAAACAATGGCAGTTTTATTTGGATTTAGAGATCTATAACAGAATAATGGAGGTACACACACCCACACACTCATGCGTGGTACCCTGGGGGTTGCGTAACCTCCACTCAAGAGCGGGCTGCTGGATGCAGACCAGGTCCTGATTACAACCAGCCGTGCGAGAGTAGCTGCATCCCAGACCTCCTCCCTGCAGGCGTCCTAATGCTCGTCTCTGAAGTCTCCTGCGTCGTTCACTCAAGATGCTCAAAGTGTAAAGGCGGAGGATATGACAGAATGTAACCCTTGTACCCAAACCACAGGCCTCCTTTTCAATAAGCGGCACAGCTGTGGAGTTTATGCAGAAGAAGTGGCATATGTGTGTATGAGCTGTTTCGTCCATAGAGAGTGATTGTCATGTTAATTGTGGCATAAATAGTATGCAGAATGACTGTGTGTATGGCTGAAGTAGAGCGAGCTGTGAAGGAGCTCATTAGAGATTCAGCGATCAGACATCAACTGCTCTTAACCTTAATTAAACTTAAGCACTCTGTCATTAAAGAATATTACACTAATAAATAAACCACAGTCTGAAGTCACTGTTACTCCCAGTTAGCCTCTGCAGGCTTCAAAACTTTCAGTTCTCAATACCATGCGTTTAAAATTTGAATGTTGTGCAGTAATGAAATAAATGACAAGATTGTGCAATGTTATATTAATGACAGAATACAGGTTATACTGGATTAAGTTGTTTTTTACATTAAATTTAATTTCATTTAAAGGGATACTTCACCCAAAAATGAAAATTACCCCATGATTTACGCACCCTCAAGCCATCCTAGGTGTATATGACTTTCTTCTTTCAGATGAATACATATTAAAAAACAAATTTCTGGCTTTTCCAAGTTTTATAATGGCAATGAATGGTGGTTGAGATTTTGAAGCAAATTAAAATGCTTTAATTGATGGATGGATGCACTTTATTTTGCTTCAAAATCTCAACCACCCATTCACTGCCATTATAGAGCTTGGAAGAGCCAGGAATTTTTTTAATATAACTCTGATTATCTTCATCTGAAAGAAGAAAGTCATATACACCTAGGATGGCTTGAGGGTGAGTAAATCATGGGGTAAGTTTCATTCTTGGGTGAACTATCCCTTTAAACAGGTCAAAAGATTAGAATAGGTCTGATAAAAAAAAGAAAACAGTATAAACAATATTAATTTTTTTACTGTATTTTTCATAAAAATAAATGCACCCTTGATGAGCATCAGACACATCTTTCAAAAACATTCTCCCACTGTCCCCCACTGTAAATGAAGCCTCTATAAAACAGGATTTGAAAGGACATTTATAATATAAAACGCACTGTTTTTCCTTACAGCCAAACCTTCACAGTCTGGCACAAGCTCATTCCTCTTCCTCACTACCAGGTAAGCTTACATAAACTTTGCCATTGAGTATTGATGATGCCAAAATGAAGTAACTCTTTCAAGCGCTTTCAATCCAGCACCTTTTTCACGCATATACATGTGGGTTTTCCAGCAGAGTTTGGTCTGGGCGCCGGGGCAAGAGCCTCTCCTCCGGGAGCCGCTGGAGACATTACCTCATCCACACGTCCACTCTTACGTTCACAGTCTTTCCATAATGCCCCAGGTAAGTGACCACTTCTCTCCAGTGTAACTCTGCTTTATTCCTGTGAGTGGGAATGAAAGCTGGCCGCTCTCTAAATGTCATCAGGCTGTAGCCGGCGCCTTCTGCATATATAGTAACTCAAAGATGCAGTTTGTATCCGCCTTGCTCATGGGACTCTTGGGTAATTGCTTTAGCTGAAGGCAACTTGTTTGTGGGCTGTGAATGCTGTCTTCACGGTTCCAAAAAATAATGAAAGTTGTGTTAACCTAAACAACATTTAAAACATCAACAGACGTCATTTTGACAGATAAACAATACGGCATCTGGTCTGTTATGACTCCGTACTTTAACAACGCCCCCACAGTTACTCAAAAGGGATAGTTCACCCAAAAATAAAAATTAGCCCATGATTTACTCACCCTCAAGCCATCCTAGGTGAGTATGACTTTCTTCTTTCAGACGAAGACAATCAGAGCTATATTAAAAAAATGTCCTGGCTCTTCCAAGTTTTATAATGGCAGTGAATGGTGGTTGAGATTTTGAAGCTAAATAAAGTGCATCAATCCATCATAAAAAGTGCCCCACTTGGCTCCAGGGGTTAATAAAGGCCTTCTGAAGCAAATTTATGCATTTGTGTCAGAAAAATATCCATATTTAAGGGTGAGTAAATCATGGGGTAATTTTCATTTTTGGGTGAACTATCCCTTTA